CTCTGACAGGCCGACCATAAGTCGCTCCATATGCTCAGACAGTCAATAGTAACAGGCACTTTTCTAATGTAAACGAACGTATAGCAGAGTTCCATAATTTAGAACCATTATTGAGTACAATACTGGACGTGAAATGGCTCGGAAGTCCTCCATAGTTTATCTATAGCTTGTGTGATTTCTGGACTTCTGGTCGATGCCTCTGAAATGTATATTTACTGTCTGGCTAGACTACGTATACACACCGGATCTATGCTCCGTAATTCATGCTCACAGACCGATGGCTTTGTCTCCTACAGTACATCAATGACCCGGGATTATATCATGTTAAACATAGGTATACTACCAGTGTCTGGGGGTCGTACCGCTTCAGGTCATCATCATACGTTATTGACCACAGAGCCAGACACGAGCTAATTAGGAATAAATATGAATGAAAATGAATGCATTTGCGAGGTATTGGGGCAGCAGACCAATGTTAGCCTGTTCAATGTCGTCTTTGTAGAAAACGCAGGAGAAAACCCTCCATTCTGTAGAAGGACCCACATTATGTATATCGGTGGTCGGGTGGTGCAGAGGATAGAGCACTTGCCTTTCATCAAGGCGGCTAGTGTTCGATTTCCCTACCAGCCGTGAAAAGGTATGAGGTCACCTGCCCGACCACATAGGTTTTTGAAAATAGATCTTCTATATTCTATTGCATGTTTATAAAGCCGACTAATATGGGGCCCCTGCAGAATCGATGGTTTTCTTCCTTGTCTTCTGTTTGGGTGACAGTAAAGAAACGAAAATTGTTCTGCAGCTCACATTCAAACACTTCGGATTTATATTTGTTCCTTTCTCCCTTACATTTACTTTCATTTCGGTGATGTCTTCCTAGGCATCCGTCTTCATTAGACCCTGGCGGTTGCTAGGACATTAAACCCAAACCATTTTTGAGGACTAGATAGGTAGATGATTTCAAGTTACATGATCTTTGAGCTAATGTGCTTTGTGTGTTTATAATATTTTCTATTTTAATTTTTACACAATCCCCTGTTTTAATATACATGGTAAAATACTAGGTTGGTAGGGGTTACCCAATTATCTGTCCCCCGAATTATTGACTTTATTATAGTTCATATACATTATACAGACAGGCTCGTAACAACCCGTGACTGTATACAGTCAGGCTTGTAACAACCAGTAACTGTATACGGTGAGGCTCGTAACAACCCCTGACTGTATACGGTCAGGCTCGTAACAACCCCTAACTGTATACAGTCAGGCTCGTAACAACCCGCAACTGTATACAGTCAGGCTCGTAAAAACCCGTAACTGTATACAGACAGGCTCGTAACACCCCGTGACTGTATACGGTCAGGCTCGTAACACCCCGTGACTGTAAACAGTCAGGCTCGTAACAACCCGTGACTGGATACAGTCAGGCTCGTAACAACCAGTAACCGTATACGGTGAGGCCCGTAACAACCCGTGACTGTATACGGTCAGTCTCGTAACAACCCGTGACTGTATACAGTCGGGCTCGTTACAACCCGTAACTGTATACAGTCAGGCTCGGAACAACCCGTAACTGTATACAGACAGGCTCGTAACAACCCCTGACTGTATACGGTCAGGCTCGTAACAACCCGCAACTGTATACAGTCAGGCTCGTAAAAACCCGTAACTGTATACAGACAGGCTCGTAACAACCCGTGACCGTATACGGTCAGGCTCGTAACAACCCGTAACTGTATGCAGTCAGGCTCGTAACAACCCGTAGCTGTATGAAGTCAAGCTCGTAACAACCCGTGACTGTATACAGTCGGGCTCGTTACAACCCGTAACTGTATACAGTCAGGCTCGGAACAACCCGTAACGGTATACAGACAGGCTCGTAACAACCCGTGACTGTAAACAGTCAGGCTCGTAACAACCCGTGACTGTAAACAGTCAGGCTCGTAACAACCCGTGACTGTAAACAGTCAGGCTCGTAACAACCCGTGACTGGATACAGTCAGGCTCGTAACAACCAGTAACTGTATACGGTCAGGCTCGTAACAAACCGTGACTGTATACAGTCAGGCTCGTTACACCCCGTAACTGTATACAGTCAGGCTCGTAAAAACCCGTAACTGTATACAGACAGGCTCGTAACACCCCGTGACTGTATACGGTCAGGCTCGTAAAAACCCGTAACTGTATACAGACAGGCTCGTAACACCCCGTGACTGTATACGGTCAGGCTCGTAAAAACCCGTAACTGTATACAGACAGGCTCGTAACAACCCGTGACTGTATACAGTCAGGCTCGTAACAACCAGTAACTGTATACGGTGAGGCTCGTAACAACCCGTGACTGTATACGGTCAGGCTCGTAACAACCCGTAACTGTATACAGTCAGGCTCGTAACAACCCGTAGCTGTATGAAGTCAGGCTCGTAACAACCCGTGACTGTATACAGTCAGGCTCGTAACAACCCGTAACTGTCTACAGTCAGGCTCGTAACAACCCGTAACTGTATGCAGTCAGGCTCGTAACAACCCGTCACTGTATACAGTCAGGCTCGTACCAACCCGTAACTGTATACAGACAGGCTCGTAACAACCGGTAACTGTATACAGTCAGGCTCGTAACAACCCGTCACTGTATACAGTCAGGCTCGTACCAACCCGTAACTGTATACAGACAGGCTCGTAACAACCCCGAACTGTATACAGTCAGGCTCCTAACAACCCGTAACTGTATACAGTCAGGCTCCTAACAACCCGTAACTGTATACAGTCAGGCTCGTAAAAACCTGTAACTGTATACAGTCAGGCTCGTAACAACCCGGAACTGTATACAGTCAGGCTCGTAACAACTCGTAACTGTATACAGTCAGGCTCGTAACAACCCTTAACTGTATACGGTCAGGCTCGTAACAACCCGTGACTGTATACGGTCAGGCTCGTACCAACCCGTAACTGTATACAGACAGGCTCGTAACAACCGGTAACTGTATACAGTCAGGCTCGTAACAACCCGGAACTGTATACAGTCAGGCTCGTAACAACTCGTAACTGTATACAGTCAGGCTCGTAACAACCCGTAATTGTATACAGTCAAGCTCTTAACAACCCGTAACTGTATACAGTCAGGCTCCTAACAACCCGTAACTGTATACAGTCAGGCTCCTAACAACCCGTAACTGTATACAGTCAGGCTCCTAACAACCCGTAACTGTATACAGTCAGGCTCGTTACAACCCTTAACTGTATACGGTCAGGCTCGTAACAACCCGTAACTGTATACAGCCAGGCTCGTAACAACCCGTAACTGTATACAGTCAGGCTCGGAACAACCCGTAACTGTATACAGTCAGGCTCGTAAAAACCTGTAACTGTATACAGTCAGGCTCGTAACAACCCGGAACTGTATACAGTCAGGCTCGTAACAACTCGTAACTGTATACAGTCAGGCTCGGAACAACCCGTAACTGTATACAGTCAGGCTCGTAACATCCCGTAGCTGTATGAAGTCAGGCTCGTAACAACCCGTAACTGTATACAGTCAGGCTCGTAACAACCCGTAATTGTATACAGTCAGGCTCTTAACAACCCGTAACTGTATACAGTCAGGCTCGTAACAACTCGTAACTGTATACAGTCAGGCTCGTAACAACCCGTCACTGTATACAGTCAGGCTCCTTACAACCCGTAACTGTATACAAATTGAACATATTTTTTATTTAATATAACTAGATTTAAAACTTTTTTTTTCATTAATCTAGACCCATCTATCACTTAATTAATCTCATCCATTATCAGCACAGTTGTATTGTGTAAATTATATTTTTGATTGAGACACTGATCTTAGAAGTAATTTCCATGGTTTCCCTTCGCATGTTTCGGGACATGCATATATATAGAGCATATTAATACAAATATGACAAGAACGCAATAATATTCAGTATAGAAAGTAAAATTGAAACTAAAAGAACGTTTTAATTTGACTTGCTATACCGATTCTTATTGCATTTTTGTTATAATTATACCAATTGTGATATTTTTAACATGATCTGTTAGATAATAACTTTTCCAAACTATTTTTTTTTTTCACTTAACATATAAACGAGAAATGTCAAATTTCTTGTCCTCGAATGTGGTATCTGCTGACATTTTAAGGAGTTATCAATATCTTGAACTTGCATCTGTTTGTTCAGACTTTGGCGTCCACGCAAAGCTGAAGTCACGTGACGTCTGTGTCCACAGATGACCTCTTTGGAAGGCGTATTAAAGTTAAAATACTTCAGCAAGAAAACACTGCAACACTTTCCCCTAGCCCCATGTGTTCGTTAATAGATTTTTGCATCTTTAAAACAAGAGCTGAGAACAGCGGTTGATTCAAGTTATCGAAATTACCAATCTTTTCCCCTAAAGCAAATCATTAGAATTACGTTTGGTATAATCAAAACGAAAACTTAAAACGCCCTAAGACTACATAACATTAATCAATATATAGAGTTTTAACTGTTACTGTAGATTTCAGACTCATGTTAAGACCCTTTGTTTGTAATTAACCTCGTACCTACCTAATTTCGTTTCTCACGTTTTTAAGTTTAACTAATCTTCACGAACAAGACTTAATTTAATTTACTCGCAGAGACGCCGAGAATATTGTTTAATTATGTATATATTTCTCTGCAAACAATTACGAACAAAACTTTCCGAAATTATACAAACGTAATTTCAAATGTTAATGTTTATTTTTTTATAAAGAGTAAGCAAACACAAAATGCAAAGTGTTGCAATGACAGAACAGAATAATTAAAGTAATTTTTAATATATGGAAGTGAACACTGAACACTGGCGACATAAAATCTCAGTTTGGCGACACATAATTTTCATAGCATCCTTAATGTGAGCCATGGGTTTCAATTTGTGGTAATCCAATATGGATTAAAAACGAGGTAATGTCATACCTTTTTTCTCATTTGGAGATATTATCCAGTTACCTCTGGACCTGTCTCTTGATCCACCTATAGACCTGTCTCTTGGTCCACCTCTGGACCTGTCTCTTGGTCAACCTCTGGACCTGTCTCTTGATTCACCTCCGGACCTGTCTCTTGATCCACCTCTAGACCTGTCTCTTGGTCCACCACTGGACATGTCTCTTGATCCACCTCCGGACCTGTCTCTTGATCCACCTCTAGACCTGTCTCTTGATCCACCTCTGGACCTGTCTCTTGGTTTACCTCTGAACCTGTCTCTTGTTCCACTTCTGGACCTGTCTCTTGATCCACCTCTGGACCTGTCTCTTGGTCAACCTCTGGACCTGTCTCTTGATCCACCGCTGGACCTGTCTCTTGATCCACCTATAGACCTGTTTCCTGGTCAACCTCTGGACCTGTGTCTTGGTCAACCTCTGGACCTGTCTCTTGATTCACCTCTGGACCTGTCTCTTGATCCACCTCTAGACCTGTCTCTTGGTCCACCTCTGGACCTGTCTCTCGATCCCTCTCCGGACCTGTCTCTTGATCCACCTCTGGACCTGTCTCTTGGTCCACCTCTGGACCTGTCTCTTGATCCACCTCTGGACCTGTCTCTTGGTTAACCTCTGAACCTGTCTCTTGTTCCACCTCTGGACCTGTCTCTTGATCCACCTCTGGACCTGGCTCTTGGTCCACCTTTGGACCTGTCTCTTGATCCACCTCTGGACCTGTCTCTTGATCCACCTCTGGACCTGTTTCTTGTTCCACCTCTGGACCTGTCTCTTGGTCCACCTTTGGACCTGTCTCATGGTCCACCTCTGGACCTGTCTCTTGGTCCACCTCTGGACAACCTACTGGTACTGACTAACTTATTGTCCAACATTCTAAAAGATATATTTTGAAGAAAACACATCCAACTTCTTCCTTTCATCTTGTGATCATGCGATGGAATACAATTGAAAAGTTAGTCTTTTTTCCCCAGCAGGGTCCTTCACGACCACCAAACATAAGCACAAGCCACCGTTACCTTCTTGAATAAAACTTCGGTAAAAACCGGTAAAATATGTTGGCGGTAAGCCAGGTAACAAATGAAACGAGGGCAATAAATCGAGGTTTTACTGTAACTTCACATTTTGTACAATGTAAATCAACAAAAGAAATGAAGCCTTTACATAAATTATACACGTTTGCTCTGACCCTTTTCCCATATTGGTTCCTAAATTGAATCCGGGAAAAAAAACGAATTTCAACTTTCCTGAATAAATACTCGGTAAGTGAAATGTTTGGATTATATCGATTTCCGGATAAACAAGATTATACCGTTTTTAAATGTAGTAAAAGTACACCAATTTGTTCTGTGTGAGATTAAATGGTCTGTGATTATGTTTCAATCCGAGTTATTTTCTAGTGTGATTGCCCTTGTGGTTGAATCTGTAGAAACGGACGTGTTCCTTACACTTCAATAACAGCTCATTTTCGTTCACCGTTAAAATTTCCACTTGGTAAGCAATTTACGAAAATCAGCAAAATGCATGGATCGAAGTCAATTCTCACCTTATCTCGCGGGACTTTAACCTTGAGGAAGGTCATTTTGAAGGACAATTGCATCTGTTGTTCACTGGCTGATCTATATCCTGCCTCCACGCGAGAGAAAACAGAAATCATGCGACAATTGAAGAGCTTTTATTGCTTTGGGGTTTGGAGAAGTCGTAAATCGGATGCTTTTTCGAAGCTTATCTGGACATAAATGACAAATTACGTGCGTTGCAGTGAGGACCAATCGATATCAGTTCATAGAACCAAACCATACAACTCTTCAATTACATATATGGAAAACTGTTTATAAGATTAGGTCACATCAGCTAGTTCATTATATATACAAATCTTCCCTTCGTTGCTGAACTTACATTTTCGGTAGGCAAGGGTTAGGGACTATACCTCTTGAAATCTCTCGTGAATGCGAGATGCAGCCTAGCGCTAGCGATGATACTGAATGACATGAATGTCCTCTAACAGTCGTGTAAGGGGACCAGTTTTATAAAACTTCAACAGAGCTTTACATGATATTTTAATCAGTCATTTCTTTTAATATCCATCTAGATTTAAACTTCGGCTTAGATGTTCTGGAATTCCAAATAGCCGCCATCTTGGACTTTATGTATCGAGTGCTGCTGCATATTAAACTAAACATAGTAATATGTTGTAAATATTACCCTAATATTAATTTTCGGTATTGAAGCGTCTGTGTCGTCAGTGCAAACGCTATTCCTAGCATAACGTCACCTAAATGCTTGCGTCGTGGCAAGTAGAAGCATCAAAATGACACTGATTCAATAGCGTTCATAGCCTAATATCGGATTGCAGGCCAAATATAAATAGAGTGGCTTAATAGTTTCTTAAGCCGATGTTTGTTTTAGCCTCGCTCATTTTATCATTGAAGTGTCTCAGTTGGTATTCATAGGCAATATAAATGCCAACTGGACAAAGGCAAATTCAATGAACTGCGTTAGCTTTATTTTTGCCATTTTTAGCTCACCTGCCCGAAGGTCAAGTGAGCTTATGCCATGGCGCGGCGTCCGTCGTCCGCCAACTTTTCCTAAAAATCGCTACTAGTCATAAACGACAGAGCAGATTTTGACCAAATTTAATCTGAAGCATCCTTGGGTAAAGGGGAACCAATTTTGTATAAACAAGGGGTCTGGCCCCGGACGGGCCTGAGGGGCGGGGCCCAATAGGGGAAATATAGCAAATTCTTTAAAATCCTTTTTCTTCTATAGGAATGAAAGGATTTGTTCCATATTTGGTCTGAAGCATCCTTGGGTAAAGGGGAACCGATTTTGTATAAACCTGTGGTCTGGCTCCATAGGGGCCTGAGCGGCGGGGCCAATAGGGGAAACATAGCAAATTCTTTAAAATCCTTCTTCTTCTGTAGGAATGAAAGGATTTGTTCCATATTTATTCTGACGCATCCTTGGGTGAACGGAAACCAATTTTGTATAAACAAGAGTTCTGGCCCCTTAGGGGCCTGATCGGTGCGGCCCAATAGGGGAAACATAGCAAATTCTTTAAAATCCTTCTACTGCTGTAGGAATGAAAGGATTTGTTCCATATTTAGGCTGAAGCATCCTTGGGTAAAGGGGAACCAATTTTGTATAAAGCGTGGGTCTGGCCCCGGAGGGGCCTGAGGGGCGGGGCCCAATAGTGGAAATAAAGCAAATGCTTTAAAATCTATCTACTTCTATAGATATGAAAGGATTTGTTCCATATTTGGTCTGAAGCATCATTGGGTAAAGGGGAACCGATTTTGTATAAACCGTGGGTCTGGCTCTATAGGGGCCTGAGCGGCGGGGCTCAATAGGGGAAACATAGCAAATTATGTAGGAATGAATGGATTTGTTGCATATTTGGTCTGAAGCACCCTTGGGTGAAGGGGAACCAATTTTGTATAAACCGTGGGCCCGGCCTCCCAGGGACCTGAGGGGCGGGGCCAAAAGGAGGCAATTGCGCTATATTGATTCTTCTCTGGAACTAAGAGACCATATCGCTACTAACGACTTCTTCTGTAGAATTATGCCATGAGTATCGATCATATTTGGTAGGAAGCATTAATAGGAGGCAGGGATTCAAAATTGTACAAATAGTGAGGCTGGGCATGAAAAATCTAATACAGACATACTACAAGAATTGGCATTGGGGTCTGGCATATTCCCTTGAAGAATATTTGGCCATGATTGCTTAGATATCCAGGTGAGCGATTCAGGCCCTCTGGGCCTCTTGTTACAATATTGTAATTGCGTTAAAATTGAATTAATCAATCGCAATTCAGCGTTTAATAAATGATAGTATATGTATCGTGTATCATTGCTTAATTATAGAAGGGCCACGAACCCTTCCTTGAAAATGGCTGTTCTATCCATTTAACAAATATACACGCAATAAACATATTTTATTTGCCATTGAATGTCAAAAAGAATACTAAACAGAACGTGACAAATTCATCACGTAACGCGCTTATAGAAATACTTACAATGAATGCCAACTGAAAGCAATTCCATCTTTAAATGGATGCCATCTGAGTTTGGAAGGGTTATATACTGGACATGTCATAAGGTGTTGAATATGTAAATCAATGACGTCAACCTATCGTTTGGTATTATTATGTACCCGTTGTTGTTCAATGATACTATATGAAGAAAAACAAGAGGCCCAGAGGGCCTGTATCGCTCACCTGGATAATAAAGTAACTATTGGAAATCATTCTTATTACATGAAATCCCTCCTATGTAAACGTTTAAACCTTGAATTTCCCTATTGGGCCAAGCAACTCTCAGCACTCAGAGGGGCCCCATCCTTCATTTATACAAAATTTAGTCCACTTATTAACCAAGGATGATCCTGTCTAAATTAGGGTAAAACCCCTACATCCCTATGGTAGAAGAAGGATTTCAAAGGTTTTAACCTCTATTTCCCCCATTGGGTCATGCAACTCTGTCCCCTGTGAGGCCGAACCCACAGTTTATACAAAATTAAGTTCCCTTGGCCCAAGCATGCTCCAGGCGAAATTGGGATGAAATCCCTTAATCTCTATGGTAGAAGAAGGATTTTAAACTATTTCCCCTTTTCGACCACACCCCTCTGCCCCCAGGAGGACCACACCCACCATTTAAACACCATTGAGTGTCCTTGGCCCAAGCATGCTCCAGACCAAATTTAGTTGAAATCCACTAAGCTTTAGCGTTTTAAAGAAAAAGTTGACGGACGGACGGACGACGGACGCCGGACGCGGCGCCATGGCATAAGCTCACAGGTGAGCTAAAATATGTACAGTGGAACCTATACCTAAAGGTCTGGTTTATACATGTACAGGTACCATATTATAAAGGTTCAGTTTACATAAAAATGTATACAGTAGGACCTAGTTGAAGGTATGCTTTGTATAGGTATCTATATTACACAGGGTTACATAAAAATGTGTACACTTTGACCTATTTGAAGGTTTGGTTAATACATGTTAATAGACGTCAAAACAATCAATCAATCAATCAATGTATCCATCACAGTTGATATAGGTTTCAGTTTAATGTCCCTCCCTTTCGCTCTCTATGTTTATAGTTTTCAACAATATTTTGTTTTGAGCGAGGTGTGTACGTATGACCTTCACTTCACAACTAGTATTCATCACTTGACTGTTATAAACACTTAACAATAGATTCATCAAGTGACAAATCTCTTCAGAGCAGCGATCCTTTCCAGGGCAGGGTTTCGCTCATACTCCTCTTTCTTTGTATTAGCTGAGTCCAGGTAAGCACTGATGGCCCTAGGGTAGTCCCCAATGGTTTCGTAACATATTCCCAACATTGTATGCACCATCCAGTAGTCTCCTTGGCGCTCATCTAACTTGACCACTATCATGTTACGTAGTGCTAAATCACGTCCCCTTTTGTCTCTGAGCTCATGGCAGCACATGAAGGACAGGAATACAGCATACGGCAGTGGGGTAATTAACACACCAACAAATGTGTTTCTTAATACCTCCAGGCGAAGGTGCGGAAGATGCATAACTCCTTCATGCACACGAATTTCATGTGTGAGTGTCTTCTTCAGTTTGTAAATTGAGGTATATCCTTTGCCACAGTATTGCTTTATATACACTGCTTCTTGTTTTTCTGGCAAGAGAGTATCTGGACGGATGTAATATGATGGCTGTGAAGTTATTTGTTTACACATCTGTAGGGCTTTTAAGTAGTTCCCTGTCAGGAAGTGAAGAGTTGCCAAATCCAAAACGTTTGTGCCCATTGAGGTACAAAGTGTCAATCTGTGTTGACACTTCCTCCGGGTCCGATACCTGGTCTTGTTGTTTGTAAGTCCACCCATCAGGTTTTGATGAGCATTTGTGTTTGCTAATTCAGATACCAAACTGACAGTATCCGCAAATGTGAGCGCTTCGTCTACCTCTGAATGAGAGTGCATTAGTAACTTCATTGATCTAATAATGGGCAAATGGTTGTGTTCATCACTAGGCGGTAGAACCTGTTTCTCCAGGGTACGTTTGACATGCATATCCTGTGTGTACTCTATTTCTTGTGCAGTTTGTGCACACATTAGTTTGGTTTGTACTCCAACATTACAAACACGTTCCAGTAAATTGACATTGCAGGGTGCCCCATGAACATGTGAAAGACAAAGGAGCTTCTTTGTATGAAACCTTTCCAAAATGTGAAGTAGTTTCTGTTGATTTTGGCCATGAACCTTTCTCTGGAACAAGTTGTTGGTTGGAATGAAGTAGTGGGGGAAGTGTTTTGCCCTGACATAAGATATCAAAATGTTAAAGCAAAACCAGAAACAATTAAATAAATGTCGTTCCTGCCAGAGCTTGGGATGAGAGTTTTCTATTGAAAAAAACATCAGTATTTTTAAATGATATGAGCACAAAATATCATCATCTTCTTTCCCAAAGATATTTCGCAGTGGGACTTTCATTTGTTTTAAAAAATATTTCAGCAAAAAGTAAACTTGTATTTGTATGTGACTAAAAGAGTGAACTAACAGTCTCTCTGCTGATGTAAACGATATCCTCCACTGTAAAAGTG